GGGGGGGACCTCGGTGATTTAAAATCTATGATTTATTCATCAGCTAAACGACGTCACCACGTCAATAAATAAAAAAAAAAAGACAAGCCAGTGCCCTACCTGACGTAGGGATGCGCATCCTCTTGGCGCACGTATCCACCTAGTGGTAGAATCCACGGAGTGCATGATGGAGGTCGACAGTCGATTCATCCTTCCATTTTCAAGACACTGCATATCCTGTTCAGGATCGCGGGATGCTGAAGCTCACGGAACTGAACCCACGCTGCCTGCGCTGAAGCCAAACTCATGTAGCTTGTGAGTGAGTCGAGAAACAAAATTACCCTATAAGTGACAGTGACTGTGGTCTAATGTTACCGTTGTAATCGAGTACAAAAGAGCTTTGTAATATGTATTTTCTTCACCCTGAACAAAGATGGAAAGAGACTGTAAAATAAGTTGGAAAAAAAATTCTGAATGATTCAAAAGTTACACACACACAGACACACGCACACACACACACACACACACATTATATATATATATATATATATATATATATATATAGTTTTTTTATGATCTCCTGGACTCCTGTTATTGATAATGCAGTAGGGCAGACTGAGGTGTGAGAGAGGAACAAAATAGAAGAAAGAAAAAAAAACTGAGTAGAAGGAATAACAATGACGGCACAACCAACAACGGTAAGGTTACATAGGAGATGAATTTTGGATCCTGTGTAGCGATCCTATGCAGCGAAGCAAATCAGATACAGAGGGATGTCACAGGACAGGGGTGTATGGTGGGGAGTAGCAATACAGTGCCAATTACTCCTGTGCAGCATTTAAGTGCAAATGAGATGGCATTCTAGGATGAAATCAACAAATGGGCAGTGCAAAGCAGAGGTCCCTAACGTCAGTACTATGACATGTGTGAAATGAGCAATCATCAGGTCTGGACTGACAAGGGAAATGATTCCCTTCATTTGTCACAAAGTTCATATTATTTAATAATTACCAATATATATTTTTTAATCTTATCTATGCAAGCGCCATATAGCGACAGGGAGTGTAATGAAATGCTTTTTCAGATGTGAAACAGAACAACAAACCTGGGTATTCACCCGTTCCCATTCATACAATAGAACAAGTCATGACCTCTGGTGTTTAGATTAGCTTTGTGTTCATTTAAACAGTCCCAGATTTTCCACTGAAAATTCGGAGTAAAAACAATATCTTTAGGATTCCTACTGTCTTTTTCTACCCCTATATTTGATGGTGTGCCTTGAGATCACGCTGCCCATCCAAGGGGGACCCAGACAAGAGGATACTACCCGCGCGAGTCCCATGGTGGCCTGCCAGCTATCAAACCCAGCAAGCTATACAGTATAAAGCACAGGCAACAAACTCTTGTGACTTAACAGTTTATTGTAAATCCAAGACAAAGTGTGATTACATTTCTACACATATACAATATGCATATGTGAGCATACAAAATGTCATTAATAACTCAATTCACCTCGAGACCGAAAAAATGATCAAAAACAACAGTGAATAGCAAGCTATAACATACTTTACCAGATTGTGCGCCCCCGTCTACCCTACTGTTAGTAAAGAGGACAATTCAAATAACTAGTCTTCTATTTGACCAAGCTGCTTCTTGGCTAGCATGATCCAGTCAATTCATGACAAGACAATTAGTTTCCCATAGCCTAATAGAAATCCACTCCATTTTTCTACAACGAAAATGATTAACACAAGCACACAATGTCATAATAGGAACACAAGCGCTGAGTAGCAAGTTAAGGTGTTTTAATTAATCCTTCTTATTGTCATTATATTCCTTTGAACACTCGATAAAGCCAATAAAGTATCCATCCTAAGAACATACTTATTTAGAGCAGGCTAGAGGGCAGGGCATTCACGAGAACTCTACATCAACAGGTAATAATAATAATAATAATAATGAAAAATAATGAGACAGCATATCCCAATAAACAAAATAAAAATTAAAAAAAAAAAACAATAAAAAGAGAAGTGTACAAGGAAAATTGCAGCACAAATGAGCTTCCAAACAGAATTATTTCGATGACTGGACAAAAAGGAGTCTGATGCTTTCAGAAAATAAACCAAAAATGTGGCAGTATTGTTGTTTAAGTACCTTATGAAGAATCGCGTGACTCTGCTCTCGAGGTTTGTCATCATTTTATCATATAACGCCCAAAAACTGGGAAATTTCACTTTGCCGGTTTTACTTTTACAAATGACAATTTTTATTGTCCTTGGGGTGGGGGGGGACTGGAGGTTTGACATGGTTTTAAAATTATATTATCGTCGAGAATTTTAAATTCTGAATTGCAGATTACAACCAACCCATGCAACACACAATATAACAAATAAAGGGGACTCTTCTGACTGTTCCCATGAATTTGAATAGGAATAGAATACTTATGTATTGGAATTGGTTTTAATTTCTTTTGGTAATTTCACACACTGTAATCATGTGACAAAAAAAATACTTACATTAGCACTTAAAATTGCAGAATTTCCAGCTTTTGTCAATTGTACTGATGAAATGAGGTTGTGTTACACGATGGAGTATGCCATCCCCACTGGAATGTTTCTCAGTTTTCCACCAATCCTTAAAATGTGCTTTAAAATGACCTTTAAATTAATATTTTTGACAGATGACATGGGAGTAAGCCATGGTTAGAAAAAAACAAAACAAAACTGCCTTCTACAAGTTTCTCTAATTTAAATGACACTTAAAAGCTTTGGAGGTATGGTTGGTTATTTTGAAGGCAGTACTAACAAATCAGGACTATGCTCACTTCAATTATATAAAACATTTGCACTCTACTGAAGCACATTTTGGTAATCATAAGGTCACTCAATCTAAGTCGATGTTCACATTTCTGACCCCCACTTTCTTTTTTAATAATACACAAAACATTGGTTATGTGAAACAAAATGATCGACAACAGCGTCATACACCAAGTTATTTTCCACAATGTCTTAGCTGGCTATAGAACTTGAGAAAATATAGAAATATAGAAGTGATATTTTACATATCTCACAAATGCACACTTGCTGGAGATTGGGTGTATAATTATTGCAAAATGGACACATAAAGATCCCAAGCTTTTTCAGATGTCAAATGTGACACATCCATGTTGTGCATGTACCTATGCTTTTAAAGGTAATGGCCATTTTTGTAGCTAATTGATTCACCCCATTGTACTCCATGGTATGGTGTGTATAAAAATCAGCGATAAATGGCCAATTTGGAGGTTAAATAATGAACTTCATTTTAATATTGGGGGGGGGGGCATGAGTAAGGGGAATACGTTAAAAAAACCAAAACAAAAAATCTACAACTCGATTATCCTCTGTGAAATTATGGCTACACTCATGTATGATGTGTATCATTGAGTATGTGAGGGTGGTGTCGGGCGAGTTGAAATGTCCATAAAAGCACTTGTAAAGCATTTCAACATGAAATTAGCGCTATTGCAAGACTGAGTGAGTGTCTTGCAGTGGCTGTGCTTGCACATTGCCAATGTGATCTCTTTGGTGGGAGAGGCAAATGTCTTAAGAGAGGAATCTCGGGAGGTGAGATGATGATGGTAGTGGTGGTTGTGTTGGAGGTGGTGGTGGCGGTGGGGTTTGGATAAGGGCAGCAGTCTAGCAGAACAAATGCTAAATTTGCAAGCAGTGGAATGTTTCAGTAGTCTGTCTCATAACAATTTCAGTGGATCTCCCTTCTGCCCGTGTGCTCAGGCCCAGATGGCCATAAGTAGATATTCTAAAAGAAACCAACAGAGAATAACGTAATATATTAACAAATGGATAACCAGCATGCTGGAACCAACGGGGTCTGAGGAGAATGTTGACGATGCAAGTCTCAGGATGGAAAAAAAAAAAAAAAAAAGCATGTCTTTGAATAATGGTTTACCTTTGACCCAAACAGTGGCCCTCAAATGACAAACATCCCATATACTGTAGGGTCCCATTGGATTATTGACACAATTTCCCACTCTTTCACTGAATACTAAATATACTAGAAATGAGCAAAACACACATTCTGATACACCATCAAGAAGAATTATTGCAACAATCTCTAATCAAAATAAACACACGTACAGCCATGTTAAGAAAAAAGTTCAAACATCGTTAAATTAAAAAAAATAATAGATCACTTCTAATGCAAGTACTATGGCGTGAAGGAAAAGGAAAGGAAAGCTTTCACTAAACCAGCAGGAGTTCTCATGTGGCCACTGGGGACTTGATGTATCGTCAGCTATGACAAATGTAAGTTAAATAAAGCAGCAAATACAAGCGACAGCCCTATGGATTCTTGATGTGTTTATCCCATTCGGCTTGATGGTGAACCTGCTTTGAACGAAGCTTGTTTCGACTTTGCCCTTCCAGGTGCATGCCACCCTTCTTGTCGCGAAACAGTTCTTTGATCTCGCTGGAAAACGTAACTGACAGCAGTAAAAGGACCCATGTAGCTTTAAACGTGAGTAATCGAGTAAAGGCTCCTACCAACTACTCGGCCTCTGTGTTTCTATCAACCTGCTCAGTGCCAACTTGTTATCATTGTATAGTTCCAAAGATAGAGTTCCCTCACTCTATCCAAACAGAACCAGTGCTTTACAGCTAGCGACTCCCGCCCCCACCCCAACCCTTCGCTCGTGTCTATGCAGTACCCTTCCATACTTCATCTTTTGGCTGCAGCTGAGACTAGTTTATCTCTCGCCCTGCACAATCCCGCCCCACAACCATGGCACAATCACTTTCTGTCAGGCCCCTCTCGGACTAGCTTTAAAAACGCAGAGCGACCTCTGGCGTCTTAACTCTGGCCTATTCAGCAGAAGAATCATTACGGATACTCCTGTGTGAATTGAAAGAAGAATTAAGCACATTTTAGGTGCCACATGAGATCACGTTTACATGAAGGCATACAAAACCATGAAGCAGACTACTAATCCCTTGCAGTGATTCATTTCGGAAAAAAATGATACATATTGCTGCACACAAACACAACAAACTATATTTTGCCACAACAATGGCACACTGAATGGAAGTCTTTTGGCTGGAAATACAAGAAAAGAAAAAAAAAGACTAAAAACTGCTGTGATGAAAATTGTAGAAACAAAACAAAACAAAAAAAATAAAATCGATTATTTAAAAAAAAAAAACATAACACTCATAACCCTGGCAATGGTTCCTAAAAGATTAATTATGAAAATGTATCCAGGGTAAAAACAAGAAAAACACAGAGCATATCCAATGCATGAAATTTAAGAGTTCATCTGAATGATTATATCCTAGGTAATGTAAGAACGTACCAAGATTCCGGGGAATGGTGCAAAAGATGTGGTTCCTCAGAATTGTTCAGAATAATTTGGGATACACAAAAATCCATGCAAATGGAGACTATTCCTAATTAATAACAATGTTCTTATGCAACTGCCTTGTGTCATTTCCAGCTAAAAGATACATACTCAACAAAAAATATTATTTTTTTAATGAAAAATTTGGCCAGGCGGCAGGGCTAGGAGGAACTAATAAAATAAATATATCAACATTTTTTTTTCCAGTTTCAATGAACTACTTTGCAGAGATGTTTGATTATACACAACCAACTAAATTCTTTTGAGAACACGCTGTTACATCTACACCACATACATTATTTGCATTTTAATTCAGAGAGACGCTGGAAGAAGAAAGAGCATGAATATCAATGACTTTGGTAAGTACCCCTGGCAAGTTATCTCATGCACACATAATAAAAGAGCTGAGCTCCATCAACCCGATGACATGAAACCTCATCTTAGGTATGCTGTCTTTAAGGACCACGCAGACGCAGTGGGAGCAAAGCCTACACCTGGAAGAGAGCTACTGTGTCCCATCGACAAGCCTTTCAAAGCAGGACAACACAACTCTTTGCTTTTGTGTTGCGTGGCTTTCCAAGTGGAGTAAACTGTGTTGTTACATCTGTAAGGCACTACGAGGGAACAAAACTTAAAGGAGGTTGACTACACACATGGCTGACAGGAGCACAAACACACGCACACACGCGCACGCACACATACACACACAATCACATTGTACATGCCTATGTTATTATGTTAACCAGTTTGTGCAATCACATTATAAAAGAGGAACAAATTAATCTATGGGTTTGAGGAAAGAGTGTTTCTTGAAAGTTCTTGAAACAAATGGGTGCAGACTGCTACATTCTATGAATGGGGCCCAGCTAAGACACCTCTAGCTAAAACTGAAGTTTTGAGAAACACAAAAGAAATCGACCTATAAATACATTAGAAAAGTTTGTTGTCTTCTGTTGGTTATATTTCCAGAAGCCTCCGGCTTGGGGAGGTGGAGTGGAGGAAGTCGCCTCTCTTTTCTCTCGACACCAAAAGTGTGGAAATATTAAGACAGTTCAAGGCCATCAATATATATATATAGATTTTTTTTTATCTTTGAAGAGCAGCAGGTTTCCGTATTTCACCTTCTCCCAATTATCTTGGGATTCCAAACTTCCAGTCTGTAACCCCTGTTCAGCAGTCCCTTCCCACAGTTAAGATGGGCAAATAAAAGAAAAAAAAAAACCAAATCCGAAATCCTCCACTGTCCCAAAACATTTGAAACTTCCCTGTAACACTAACGAGACACTACTTTCCACATAAAATAAAGCAAACAGAAATCAAATGAAAGCTAAGCTGGCCCTTTTCAGAGAAAAAAAAAAAAATCAAAAGAAATCACCTTGAAATGGGAACGCTCTAATCTAACTCCTGTCTTTCCCTCAGAGAACGACTGTGAATCTTTTTTTTTCCTTCTTTTGCTCCGTCATATCTTCAAGTCATATGGGGCAGTTGGATGAGGATTGCAAAGTTCTCTGTCTCTGTTCACAAGTGGGGCTGAGGGTATATGGAGAGTGTTGATGGGACTAAGGGTGGTTGGTGTGTGTGTGGAAGCAGCAGTGCCAGGTGAGCCTCTCCAGTGTCTTCTCTAGAGGTAAGGGTACTGGGTGACCTTCGTGGGGCTCAGTGGGTATCCAGTGTAGACAGTGGAGGCAGGCGACGCGCTGATATAGGCCTGCTGGGCAAACTGGGCCTGGTACTGACTGTGGTGCAGGGTGGGCGAGGGCAGCACGCGGTGGCCCATGCTGACTGGAACCTGGTGGACAATGCTTGGTGGGTAGCTCCCGTGCTGGACTGTGTGGCGAGCCGAGCCCTGTGACGCCACCAGGTGAGCCACTGTGCCGCTGGAGCCCAGCGCGGCGGGTGCCGTGTAGGTGTAGAGGTGAGGCTGGCTGGAGAGGTGCGTGGCAGCCAAGTGGGGGTGCATGTTGCCTGTGTGGGAGGGGCTATTGTGATGGAAGGAGTATGGGGCCTGAGTGGCAATGGTGGGAGCGATGTAGGCCTGCTGGCGGCGATGACCTCCATTTCGGTCTGCTACCATGTGCTGCTGGGCCTGGAGGAAAGAGTGAAAGATGACACGGTTGCATTTCTTTTCAGCTTTCAACTCAAAATCTTTGTCCTTTGCAGCTAGAACATCTTCCAGTCACATAGTGGTATCATACATTTGATCCACTTGGTATGTAAGGCAATGCTGCAATATTATCCCCCCCGGCCCCTCACCATGTTCTTTTGAAATTTGGCGCAGAATCCTCATCTAATACTGTATTATGAAATATTATGAAACTAACAAGGTCACTCCGCCGGCCTGGTTTTTGGTTTATAGTGGTATTGGGTCATCGGTTAATGATGGCCTCGGTTTACTACAATTGTCCCTTCGTAGGATGTTTTGTCTATACTAGTGTCACAATAAGGTTGGGGTTGTTTAAGATCTATAGCCTAAATGCGTTTTTCATACAGTACAAATCTCTCTAATTGCGACTTCACTTCTGTGTTTGTAGAGGTAGGTAGCAGACTATGGCTCATTCTGACATACGGGCTATGTTCTCGCGTTGGCACATAAGTCCTTTCGTATGCGCCCGCGAAAGCACACTTTTAATCCATGTGTATTCTGCTGCTCATACATCTGACACACTCACGTACCCATAGAATGAGTGCGCAAACATGAAAGTGGCGTGATTCATTGAATTCTGAGGCCTGGCTGTAAATCATTGAGCATAGAAATTTTCCGAGATTGGTAAATGCCATTGAAATCCATGAAAAAGATAAAGCGGCATTCAAATTTCATAAAGCCTTATGTACAGTGGGAGATGCGGTGTCCAGTCAGCCAGTTGGGAAGACTCCACTAACAAACTAAAACTTTGAAGGAGCAGATGATTTTTTTTGAATTGTGTAAGAAACAAGTCCAATAAAAGTATTTTTAACCAGCATACTATGTTAACGACTGAATCTGTTTGGAGAGCCATAAAAAAAAAAAAAAGTGTACCTGTTGTACTACAGATCAGTGGTGTCCAAAATACATCGCGCCACCGATCGGTCGAGTCACTTTAATATCACACAGTATTTTGACCGCCAGAAGAAAAAAAAAAAAAAAGATTGTGCTACCAAAAACTCCAAAGGCTTTTCTTTGAAGGCTCGCCTCCGGCACCATGTGTTTGAAGCATAATTACTCCTTGCAGTTGTAGGTCAGCGGAAGTCAGCTGCCCCTGATATTCTCACGAATAACTATCCTGGCTCACAGCACCTCTTTGATCAGCTCAGTGTAATATTTTTGTTCATTCTCTCTCCGTATGTACATTCGATGGCTTTCTGGACAATGTGGTAGTGACATATGATGTAACTGAATCCAAATTTCAAGGGCAATATACTTTATCACCTTCACGTGGTGTTTGAACATACTATAGCATCTGGAGCCCCTTCAGAAGAAAAGTGCTTAAGATAATGGAAGAATGCGCAGAAAGCCCGATTTAACAGAAAACGCCTACGATTTAGAGATGTTCCAACCTGAGTTCATGTCTGGAACAAAAGCGCTTAAATGACAGAGTTAAGTGTAGAGGAGAATCTGTACAGCCAGAAAAGTGCAGAGCTGCAGGCTTTTTCTGACTTGGGGATGTTACACTGCACTTTGCACAGCGTTCGACCGTGGGGTAGGACGCAGGAAGGACAGTGGCTATACTCAAGCTAGCTGCAGTGGTCACAGGTTGCTAAGCGAGCGGACAGGATATAGCCTAAGCCTTTTCCTGCTTCTTTAGATGTGTGGTAAAATAGGTTGCAGCTCAGTAATATGTATTTGAAAGTGTTATTTTCACTTTGAAATCATTCTGCCACCAACATCTCCTCACCCATTTTTCAATCCATTGCTACGTACAATGTCAAAAGATCGTTAAGCACTTGGGAGAATATGGCCCTTGATTCGTGAAATTTGGATCACTTCATCGCCTCAATTCCCTGAGGAATTGTAGTAAACCAGAGGACCCTGTCATAAACTGCGCACTGCCGTTTTGAAGTTGGTCCTCACTTTGGAGATCTCACAACTTCCACGCTGAGGGAAACAGTCTGGCTCCGTGGCTTGTTGAAAAGCAACATTTGTCCAAATAATCCAGAACAGGGTTTCCAAAATGATATGAATCTGGATACATTTTGCTCTGCACTTTGACAGGTGCAGCACAATAGATACTGACACATGATCCATTTTGTGTATGAAACATGAAATTGGAAAACCTCGACTGTGAGGCAGATTTGTGAATCACAGACTTTACCAAATTGTCCTGCTGAGGCAGAAAGTAGTCTTGCCCAGACCCTGACTGATTTACCTGAATTCATGGTCATTAAAAAAAAACAAAAAAGTGTAACAGATGAGGCATCCTCCAATTGATTATACGAGTGTATATACTGTTTGTGCAATCGGTATCATAAAAGCTGTTCAGTGCAGATCTCAGACTTGTGCACGGCGGCGTCGTGTCATTTGATGTGTCTTTATACCTGGCTGAGATTAAGAGGCTGCTGCTGGAGGGGGTGTGGCCCTGAGCGCTGCTGTCTATATGATGCAGTCACACCACCTGGGATGTGAATGTTGCCCGAAACCACTCCATTAGAGGACTTGAACTTGTAAGCGGAATTCTGATGATTCATTGTATCTGCACAGAAGGAGGCGAAAGCTACTTAGAAATCTTTGGAGAAGCATGAGGCTGTCTTCGTGTGACTTGGCATTACCTGGCATCAAGCGTTCACACTCATTCACAACCTCGCTGGTTTGAGTTTTAAGAGGGGGGATGATGATTGTGCGTGGGTTGCCATTGTTGTAGTTGTCCAGTATGGTGGTCTTTGTGTCGTAGCTGTTGTTGTTGTTGTTATTGGCGGGTCTAGACTCCACAGTGTAAGGGCTGTTGTTGCTGGAACAGTCGGTGTCCGGTGAATCGTGGACGGTCACACAGCTGATCACATTCTTCCTTTGCTTCGACGATCCACTGGAAGGCATACGATGGAACTGAGTTTGGCTACAGTTTCTACTGCTTGAATTGTATGTCCAAGTGATAAATACGGTGAATTGAAATCCTACACGGTACGCACGGAAAGTAAACTCTAAGCTCTTGTATCGGATCACATCAAGTGTACTCCAAGTGTACAGTATTGTTATTTCAATACATTGAAAATTTCTGAATTATAAGAACAATAGCCAACTAGCTTAAACCCATGACATCATGCTCGACCCATAAAAAAAAAAAAAAAAAAAAAAAGAAAAAAATAGCAGCATTGTGTGCTCGAAGTCAAATCAGATTCATGTGGCAGTTGCGAGAAATAGCTTTTTTTGGACTCTCCTCTAAGAATGCTACAATTTGGGGTATTCTATGATGCCTATAATCAAATAGGTCCAATTGCACTCAACACACACAACTATGATCAATTTTCAAAAGCAGCACTTGTAGCAAGAAGGAAAATATAATCGTAGCAATTATTCAATTTCTTCCAAAAGACAGCACTGACCCATGATTATGTTTGCGGTCATCTTCCTCATCTGTGTCACTACTGATGGTGATGATGCTGACCGCAGGGCTGGGTGTGTCGGGGATGATGATGGTCTGTCTGGGAACGTGCTGCTGGTTTGGATGGTTGCGGGTGGTGCTGGAAGCCTGCTCGGCCTCAATAGTCCCCCACCCGCCTCCCCCACAGCCCTGCGGTGGAGGGCAAATGGAGGCTGAGCTGCTCTGGAGCACAGCGCACCGTGGGGGCGTGTTCTCCTTCACCCTTTTGGAACGCTGTGGCGACAGCATTGCCTGAGTGGACGATACTTCGTAGGCTGAAGTGTTCCTTTAAGGTAGAAAGACAGAATGAGAAGTAAGCATGAAAACAGAAGGCATCATAGGATTAATTGTGACTACAGTCCTGTGCTAAGGTATTAGACTATCACTGGCTTTGTATGTATGTAAGGGTGCATCTTAATAACTTAGCATGGAATTTAAAAAGTCACATCAAATAAGTTGTTGAACTCAAAGATTGAAACTCCGATATGATACGGAATAATTTAAGACACGGTAAAAGTACTTTTCAGAATGCCAATGTAAACCAAATGTCTTTATTCACAATCATTTCGATTGTTTCTTCTGCAATATTCATAATTCTTGGCATAGTGCATTTTAGGTCTTAGATGTACGGTAAGCTGTATTCATTAATTAAAACATCAAAATGAGATACATATCAATCATTTAATATTTAACTACGTCATGAATCTAAACCACTTTTTTTTTCAAACTGAAATAAAATAAATGTAATTTTCCATGAGATTAAACTTGGCAACAAAAAAGGGAAATATAATGGGAAATTATAAATGCTTGCCACTTTTTCAAATTATATTTCATGATAGCATTTTTAATACAACCAATCTGTGATGCACAGCTGTGCGCTGTAGTTTGTCCGATGTAATTGTTGTTCACACACACCTGGCAGAATTCTGGTGCTGTTTGTTCTTTTTGGAAGAGGAGTTATTATTGGACGAGGGTTGCCTCATAACATGTGCCACTCCAACATTGAGCGTCTGGTTGGATGGGAGAGTGACGTGGCCAGCCAACAAGGCTGGCTGCTGCATGATGGGATTGTAATGGCTGCCATGAGGGTGGGAATTCCTGTAGTAGAAAAAGTTTTCAAAAAACACTCTTAAAAGAAGAGCACAGACAAACATGTTTAGCTTGCAAAATCAGATCGGCACATGGAACTGAATTCCTTCCATAAAGACCTCAGACAATACAATCAGACATTAAACACCCCCCACAGAAAATAACACATGTACATTTTGCGCAACAGATTAACACATAAAGTAAAGCCAACTTTGTTTTTTAAAACTTCTCACCCCTGTGATATCTTGAAATCTTTAACATTTTCATATGGGTATGATTTTTAAAGTTTGACTTTTAGTGAATTTCAAGATCGCTCTCTTATTGACAAATAAGTATAATTTTGCATGAAATAAATACAAGCAGAGACACCTGGTTAAATACTCAAAGTACTGTACTGTGGTATTTTCTCCCCCTCGTGAGCCAGCAGGTGTCAGTAGCAACTTTTTTTTTAAAAGAAGACAAGATGATTCAAGGGAATAAATAGAGGTACGGCATCAAAAGGGAGGGCAGAGGAGCTGACACCAGCTGTGGAGAGAGAGCTCTGCAGAGGAAGTGCGACACTTTCCTGATAGTCTCTCTGTAGACAACAGAGAGGGGTGGGGGGGTGAAGCCAGGAAAAGAGGAGGCGCGTTGGGAGTAACTGGGGGGTCGTCACAGATGAACAGTTGAGAATGAGTCTAAACATACATGTCCCCCGCAACTCTGTACAGACACTATAAAGCCAAATCCTGCTTCTCTCCCTGCTGATTGCTTTGTCGCTTCAGTCCATCCATTCGTCAAGGCATTTCAATGACAGGCCTAGCGTCTCTTCATGTTCATCTCGCCCATCTCCCTGAGGTGAATCTGCTCTTATAACACACTAGCCTGCTTGTGATTCGATAAAGATAAAGGACAGGCTGTCAGGGAGTAACTGACTTCTCAGTCAATCACTTTCCGATATTCTTATATTACTTTTGGACCTCTAAAAGCCATAAACAAGATTGTGTCTTATTGTTCTGAACTGATGATGCCTTTCCGCTCTGAAAGTGACAATGTTTGTAAATACTTTTTCATGCTATTGAAAGAGAAAGTGTGTTGAAACCATTGACTGCTACTGTATGTTCTTTTGCCAAGAGCATGTTTGCGGAGTGCTACAGCTAGGGTTGCAAAAGGACAAACATTTTCTGGGACGTTTCAGGTACTGTACATTATTGCCGAGAAGTTGTCTCTTGAGGATTGTGGAATCATTATTTAAAACACACACACACACACACACACACACACACACACACACACACACACACACACACACACACACACACACACACACACACACTTTGTAATAAGAATGCATTTTTTGCATTAGTCCATTTGTGAATATAAATGTGATTATTTTCTTTCAATAAACAACAGAATACATGAATGCTAACAAGAATAAACATTTTTTTTCACCTCCGGTAATCTGCATGCGTTTTGATGGAGAAATGCAAATATTTTACATCAGGAAAGGGTCTCATTAGCCATGTTTAAGTAGAATGCTGCTTTCATGGGAATGAGGGCCGTTTTAAAATAAACAAATGTTTTCACGTTTTTAGTGTATTTATTCGTATTGTGTAATGTTTCTCAAGTCACATATTTATTGAGGAATTGATGTTGTTTACCTCCAGTTGGTCAGAGGCTGTGTGCTGCTCATGGAGTCAGGAATGACGGCGGCATGCTGAACTGAGGTGTGAGTGAGCTGCTGCCAGGCTGGAGGCAGCAGGATCTGCTGGGTGCCGCTGGGCCAAGCCTGCTGAGGTCGGACGAGACACAATAGAGTAAAAACAAAGGGGGATTAAATGGAAAGAGGAGATTAAAAAGACAATAAAGGGAGACACATTCATCTACTGTGGAGGGTTTACGATGAAACATGAATACATGATGTATTTGGATGATTAGTTTTAAGGGTGTGATAAATCAAAGTCTCTCAGCGATGCTAACGCAACAAAATTGGCCTTAAGAGGTAAGACCAAGATTTAGTGTACTTCTGCAAATGTTCTCGGTGTGTGGATGTGCATCAATCTGGGATAGATGAAATTTCGTTGATAATTAAGTATTTTTGTTCAAGTTATGGTGAAGGTTCTACAAAACCTTTCAATTAAGTCATTGTGTAAAATGTAAATAAAAACACAATACAAAGATGTGTAAATCCTGACTAGCAGTGTATTCAATTGAATCCCATGCAAATGAAACAAATGTAATGTTCAAACAGATGGTTGTTTTTTTTTGTATGGGTTTTTTTTTTTTAAACAAATATCTATTCTCTCATTTTGAATTTGATTCCTGACAATTACGTGAGCAATAGTCCAAAAGTTTAAGAACAACATTTCTCAAGGTATAATTGCAAGGGATTTAGGGATTTCATTATTTACGGTCATTAATATCATCAAAAGGTTCAGAAGATCTGGAGAAATGACTGCATGGAAGCGGCAAGGCCGGAAACCAATAATGAATGCCCGTGACCTTTGATCCCTCAGGCGGCACCGCATCAAATACTGACATCATTGTGGAAAGGATATCACCACATGGGCTCAGGAACACTTCAGAAAACCAATGTCAGTGAATGCAGTTTGGCGCTACATCCGTAAGTGCAACTTAAAATTCTACAATACAAATGAAAAGGTATTTATCAACAACACCCAGAAAAGCCGCCGGCTTCTCTGGGCCCCGTGTTCTCCTCAGATGGACTGATGCAAAGTGGAAAAGTGTTCTGTGGTCTGATGAGTCCACATTTCCAATTGGTTTAGACATTATGGACATCGTGTCATCCGGGCCAAAGAGGAAAAGAACCATCTGGACTTTCATGGAAAGTTCAAAAGCCACCTCGTGTGATGGAATGGGGGGGTGTTAGTGTCCTTGGCATGGCTAACTTACACATCTTGAAGGGAACATTAATGCTATATACAGGTACATGTATTGGTTTGGGAGCAACCTATGCTGCCATCTAAGCCACATCTTTTTCTTGGGACATCCTGCTTTTTGCAACAAGATAATGCCAAGCCATATTCTGCAGAGTCTCTAATGGAGACCCTGGACTGCTAAACAACTCAAGTTATACAGCAAGCAAAAATGGGAAAGAAAACTTCAATAATTGGTATCCTTTGTTCCCCAAAACTCAATTAGTGTTTGTACTGTTTATGTAGTGGTAAACGTGGCCTGGCCCAGCTTTTTTGGAACATGTTTCAGTTATCAAATTGAAATTGAAGAGAAGACATTCAAAAGAAAAATAATACTGTTTATGAGTTTGAACATTAAATATCTTGTCTTTACATTGTCTTCAAACACATATTGGTTTAAAAGGATTTGTAGTCTGTTTTATATGTTTTACATGATTTTTTTGCATCTGCGATTGGCTGGCAACTTGTTCAGAGTGTCCCCCGCCTACTGCCCGCAGAGACAGCTGGGACAGGCTCCAGCATGCCCCGCGACACTTGTGAGGATAAAGCGGATCAGAAAATGGATGGATGGATGATTTTTTTTTTCTCATGTTTTCCTTTAAATGTCCCAGCTTCCCTGGAAATGGGATTTGGACTTTGTATCAGTAAAGGAAAGAAGAAACAGGCATTGGACGTGGACGTATTTTTGTGTGGTTGCGCGCATGTCTGCTTGCATGCGCACGTTTGCGTGGTACTCTGTGTAACCCTAATAGTTTAATGCAGGTCTATTGATTGGTACTTTAAAAGGGCTAATGACTCATTCATTTAACACCACATCTAGTTCAAACATTTTTTACAAGCACATTTAAACAATGTGAAAGGAAGACTGAGAAAAGAGAAAGTAAGAGCACAGCTAATCTGCATACATAGCGCAATTACCCAGTCGTTTAAAAATTATCATCCATAACTTTTTCATCAATTAACTTTGGATGCATTTGGCTGAGGATGTTTCCTGTGTCAATGTCTGAGGCTGCAAGGTTATGTCAAAGTCTGAGGTTCTCCTCAGTGATATCTAATGCAACATTCTGCTGTTCAAGATGGCTCTAGCCCTTTATCAACATGCCATTATGACATGCTAATAAATCCATCCATCTGCTCCTCCTCCTTCTCCTGCTCACTCTATCTCCACTGCTGGCTCTCTACATGCCTTTCTCACCAGGCGTCTGTGTTGTGTAACCAGGCTGTCTGCCCTGAAATGGTAACCCAGTTAAGAGGCCCTTTTTTTTCTACTCACGGAGCCCACCAGCACTATCAGCAGACCACCACCTCCCACCTCGGCAAAAACACTCCCCGGGTGAAAACCCTTTGTCACCTCGGTGCTCCGAAAGCCACAGCTCTCACTCCTTGATTGTTTCCACATTTTCTGCATTCCTGCACCAGATAAAGGTTTTGTTGGTTTCCCTGCCTTACTACTTTGGAGCCTTCTTCTCTGTGCACACCCATGACGTTTGGGGCATAATCTCTAAGAGGTGAGCATAGAGGGAATGGGGGGCAGGGGGCATTGAGGTGTGGGCTGAGGCACAGGTGGGCTGTAAGCAAGCCACCACCAATGTAACCAAGCCATCGAGACCTCCTACAGTGAAGAAATAAACACAGGGAGTTATTAGGTATGCTGCATGCTAGTTCAAAAAATTATCTGCTTATGTTAACAACTACCTTGCACCTTTTTTAAAACATGCATACACAGACAAGGGTTATACTGTAGGTGCAGACAAGCAGTGCAAGGATCTGCAGTTGAGGCACCAATGGATGTAGTTTAAATGTCCTTTTAGAGTCCTTAATATATTCATTATGTATTCAAGAATTTGGTGAATCTATGAATTATCTGCTCTTTTGGGGCCACATTCAAGCTTCCCCCGACCTCTTAAGGTCCTCCGAGGCCTCTAATTTGGAGCGGCTGATTCGGAAGCAGCCCTGGAGCTAATCACCATTTGGTATCGGACAGATTAAGCCACCATAGAAACAGAGGCATGCTCTCACACATATACACACACTCACAAGGGCTTTGCCGCCTGTATGCCTGCCTATTGCATGATTAACTGGAGATAAGGGAGTGCTTCAAACTCCCTAGATTCTCAGAGATATTTAAAGCCTTCCTGGAAATTTCCATTGGGAGAAAGGTGGAGTGGTGATGGAAGTGGTCGACAGTGTATGAGAGAGAGAGGTGCCGATTCACTCTTACTTCCTACATTAGATCAATAGCTAAAAGTCTCCAGCGCCACAGTGCACTACTGGCTTGTGACGGCCTTCTCTGTGTGAAAGGCTCTTGACCAATGTGCATCAAAGCGTAGGAGAGCAGGGCTGCATTGGCAGCAAGTGATTAGGACAGAGAGAGAGGGAGAGAATGGAAGAAATACACGGAAGAGCTCAACCTAAATGTACTCAAAAAAGAAGGGAGGGCAAAAAAGCGGCTACCAGGGGCCAGGCCCTTTTCAGCTTCTATCCATTGTACTTTTTATAGCGCATAGCTTTCAAAACGCAGGATCCTGGTCTTTTTTTTTCTTCTAAAATATCAGCACCTGACAAGCACTTTGTAATCATTCAGTTTACACTGCAAGGACCATATTAAGATCGTGCGGCATGACAAAGGTCCACGGGGACACTGTTGAGGAGATTTTCTTCAAAAACCTTTATGCTGTTCTAAAAAAAGATTCAACCTCTCTGAGGTCCAAAATCAGTGACCTCTCATTTCACAAATGTTCTTCAGAAAGATTGGAAAAAAAAAGATGAAAAAAAATCTTTGCAAAAAGTCTTCCCAGAAGTTGGGGATGTGATGTCGCAGTGACTTTTTACTTTCTTCTCTTTCAGCTGTCTGTACATGGACTGCCCCACTTCTGCCCGCATAGTGTATATTGGTATAATTTAAAATGAATTGCCTTTATACCTGAGTAAGGAGGCCTGGTTGGATCTGCAGAGGCTGGGCACCGGGGGCCTGTGTCACAATGGGAACAGCATTCTCCATCCGCATGGAGTAACTGTTGTGCTTGGAAGGTGATGCCTGCAGTCCTGTCAACAAAATATAATACAAATAATGTGTAACTCATACTCGAAGGCTATGTGTTCTTAAATATGGACCAACAAGTCTATTTCACAGAATTATGGATCAAAGGACCATGTTGTTTGTGGTAGGTGTTGAACTGTGACGGTGAAAATGTATTCATTGCCTTGTTCAAGTTGGGTCATTGTTGGTATAGGGTAAATCTAAGCGAAGAACATGACTTAAAGGGACGGTCTTTGCACACAGGAGGACACAAAAGCTGATTAACACGGCACAGATTTTAGAAGTTAAAAACAACAAACGATAAAGCCTTAAATCACTTGCTACTTTTAAGCTTTCTAGTTAGCGGCCACTATAACATGCCATTTTTCACAGAACCATTGTGCAAATGAAAATCTGCAAATGCCTCGTTTTCATCACTGTTCTCTGTGTGCTAATGCATCGTGACTGCTACGACCACGTTACCTTGGAAGCCAGGAGGACAGACGATGAGCGCCTGCTGGAAGGGATCCGGCCGGGTAGCGCAGAGCTGAGGAGCCCCCGTCTGCAGGGGCAGGCTCCTTTGGGCAACAGCTGCCATGGAGGCAGCGGAGGGCTGGTAGAGTGCAGATTGGTAGTTTAGTATGGAGACATCAGGACTTGCAAAGGAAAGGGTGGAATTGTTGTTGGAGGAGGGAGCCAGGTTGGTGGCCTAAAGGAATGATGGGACCAAAATGGAAAAAAAAAAATGAAAGGGTGACACTGATGGGAATAACAGGTAGAATTGCTTAAAGGTGAGAAAAACAAAAATGTAGAGGAAGCTCAATCACACCTTCAATAGAAGGTCGATTGCCAGGCATTGATGGAAACGAACAGAAATAACACCGACGACGGGGATGTTAAATGTATTTTGACGAAATAATGACAAGCAATCAATTCACAAAATATGAAACTGATCAGGCACCATGCCGTGTTTAAATTGAATGAATCGACTGATGCGCAAGCTCTTCATTTTCCCAAACCATAAGACTGTGATTGCAATGTGCACCAGCAGTTAACTACATGATCGAACAAAGAGACCACCGCTTTATATGCTCTAAGTTTCTTTTAAACTTCAAACTCGATTGTTTCTCTTAATTGCACTATTAAGCAAGACGAGCGTTGAATTCCACTGGTACCACTGGTTCAAAAGCCTGTTTAAATGGCAAAAAGTGAGACAAAATGACAATGAGCCTCTGTAATGAGCTGCTAGGAAATTTGTCGCAGCCTACAAATCAATATGCCCGACAAGTCATTTGTCACCTCCAACAGTCATTCATCAATTATGTAACCTTCTCACTCTCGTCCACCATAAATAAGACATGTGGAATCCACCAACTCACTAGACTTTTTTTTTGCTCAATTTGTGTACAGTATTTGATTTTAATATATCATCAAGGTTTTTCCTTTCATTTATCCGTACATATGAGCCGAGAGAAATACATAGCCAGCATTTTCAGGTTTCATTTGCTTTCTTTGGTGTGGTAGATGAATATAAGAGATGGGAGTAAATTCAATATGGCATTGTGACATTCATCATAAATGAAAAAAGAAAACAATTAAAGGTCACTTAATCAGTGCAAACCACAGCAAATATCAAGTGCTGCTGCATCACACAGCGTGAGCAAGATGCTTCGATAGAATTGCAAATAACCATATTTCAAATCATTGCGTCAAGAGATTCAGGACCTACAATCTTATGCCGGGCAAAGTGAAAAGTCAGTAGTTCCGATTCCAAACCATACGGAAGCAGTAAAGTGCCACAAGCTCGATCCAGGGAAAAAGGAGGGAGGTGAAGAAGATAGAGGAGGAGAGGAACGAAAGGAGAGAAGGAGACGACGCTGGGGGTAAAGGGATTCTTGAGGCCGAAAAGCTCCACAATGCATGATAAGCAGGAAGCAGGGCTTGCCATGTGTGCAATCAGCACTTTGCGACAATCCCATCGGACCTGGCTGCAGACAAAAATGCAGCCAGATAGATATAAAAGGCAGAAAGGCAGAATCGTAGGCCAGGAAATGTGCACACACATGGGAAATAAGAGGCAAACAGCTGGTCATGACAGCTTCAAACCCATTTGCATGGACGGCGTGAAATACCGATAACGGTCTCTCAGTCAATACTCTGGCAAATCCGGATCACCTTCTAGGTAGTCAATAATTGTTGTCATTTGTTTTTCTAGACACTAATGCTGCCTTGGAGTTGTGTGCAGTGTCGGCAAATGTTGATGTCTGCAAAAATGATCAAATATTACATTGACTGGTGGTTACATTCACTGACTGGTGGTTACATTCACTTGCCATACTGGGCTTCTGATCAAGTCCGTGTTGAGTAACAAATCGAAGTTAATGGACAGTAATTTGTAATTAACCAAAGTAGTGGTCCAACATTAAGTCATATTGCACAACAGTAGGGGGAGCCCTGGGGCTAAAACACATGGCACTCCACTGCTGGACTGAGAAGAGATGAATTGTTCAGTGTCAGCATTCACAGATATGCGGCACGTGGATTTGCAATACTCTACTTTACATACATGATGTAAAAAATATAAACCTCAGAACGTTTACAGATGTTTTTGTCATTGGGAAAGGGGATCACTTTGCTTATGCTGTAATCTGCATGTGAAACCTATCAACCGCCTGAAGGGAAAACATGCTCAATTTTGAGTCCACAGTTGTTGTAATTGTGGTACAAATACGAAAGATTAGGACTGCTTTCGAGTTCAACTTGCATTTCCAACATTCCTAAAACACATTTCACACATATGTCACCACATACATGCCATTGTTGTGTGACAGACAAAGGACAAAAGAAAGTGTTGAGCGTTACCTGGCTGTGCACTGTGTTGAGCTGGTTATTGAAGGTCATGGTGAGGTTAGTGGAGGTGCTGGGGGCCACGTGGGTGATGAAGGGCGTCTTGCTCTGGTTGACCGTGTCGTACATGTTAACACGGCGTTTACAGATCTCCATATTCTGGAAGCATGATTTCACACTAGAAAGCGACAGAGACGCAAAGGGGATGAGACTGGGTGCATGAATGGCCGATGCAATTATACCATTAAAGTAGGTACTTAGATAAATCGGAACAATAAGAGCTCGTACTGAGTGCTGTGAGGGAAATCGAGGAGATGCGACATTGTAACAAAAGGGTGGTTGAGCGTTTCAATAGGTGTGATTCTTTTGTCCGCATCGATGGTCAGCATCTTGGTTAACAAGTCGATGAATTCCCTCCTGTCGGCTTTCTCTGCCAGCAAGTCGCTCCCCTCCAGATCTGACGTCATGTTCACCTGCAGGCATCAAATAGCGGCACAGTCAAGCGTGCATGCTCGTGTGTATGTAGGAGGGTGCCGTCATGTTTTTTTGCAAACATAAGAGAAAATCCAGCTCCCTCCGCTTTGCTTTTTCCCATGCCGGATACAAATACAAAAATCTGCACCCTCATCAGTTCAGGTGTCTCCAGGCCTTGCTCTGCAGAGACTTTACAAACGTGTACTGCCACTTCACATATCTAGACAGTATGCCCATTCCTGAGTTGTGAAATGATTTGTGCATTCAAAACTAGAACCAGAAAATTCAATGTTTGGTTTGTGGGGAGGAGAAGAAAAGAGAAAAGGACATCACTCTGTGGAGGAAGCTGACAAGACAAAGTGAACCGAACTATGTTGAGTAGCATCACGCTCCTTCATTGAGTTAAACCTTGTGGCTCAGGCTGCGTCTGAATGTTAGGCCAAGCATCTCATTACTGCTCACATGCAAAGCTCCGTACATGGAGAACTTGCATTGATTTAACAGGCAGGGAAATGAAGGTGGGCTTTGGGTCTTGTGTCTTGCACCCGCGGCCTCAGATCAGCCAGAACAAGTTGCTTCCCTGAGCGGAAAACTGCTCATTCCTCCAACTAATTGATTCTGCTCGCTTGTTGACAATATGCAAGCTCACCAGGAATTTCAAGTCAATGGACATTTTTACACGTATTCATCACTCTCAATGACGGCGGACCTGTTTGACATCTGCAAAATCATTTCCCTTGCCCCTTGGATCATAATTTGTATATCTGGATAAAATCTGACCCTCTTTTTAGTTGAGACGAGCCACCATAAGCACAGAAAGATTTAAAGCTAATCTGAGGTATCACAGAAGTGTTTTTCCCCCCTCTGGTTTCTTGTGTTGACTTTTATTTACCATACTGCTAAAAGTGTCATCCGTTTCCGGCTATCCTGTTCGATTGCGGTCGGTCTCACCTGACGGGTGAGAGACGGTAGATGAAACTGAAACCGTTGCTCCCAGAATGACATATTTTATGAACATTGCCCACTCCTCTTTGATGTGACCGTTGCCATTGCAAAACAGTTGCAATCAAAAACAAACAAATAGATGAAGCTGTGTCAATGAAAACATAACCTCATTAGCGAAAGTAATGATTTATGACAAATCCTTTGCACACTGCCAACAAGCAAACTAAACAAAGTGGAAAAGACTGGACTTGTTGTGCCTCATTCCCCGTGTTTAAACAAGCACCAGGTTATGATGTAGCTGCTCTTTGTTTAAGCCAACAAGATTGTCAGGCGGTGTGACCCCGCTGGGAGCAGACTGTCATGTTCAGTTTTTGTGTATCTCCAGTAGGTGGCAGAAGAGGGTCCTTCCTCCGGGTCGCACACCTGTTGCTCATGTCATCAAGCCGACTATTGAAGCCAAGGGTGCCCAATACGTTGATCGCAATCGACCGGTAGCTCGCGGACTGGTCCAAAGTCCATCGCGAGGGGTGTGTCTGTGTACATGTTATTAATATATATTTATTGTGTTAGTGCACACTGCACCTTTAGCATCCTGTCAGTCTCACTTTCACAAAACGCATTTAAAAATATATAATAAAATTAAAAAACAGGTCAACTTTAACCTACGGTGGCGTGTGACCTGCATCACCGGAAGTTATTTGCGATCGGCAGGCTGCAACTGCAGCTTGCCATCAGAGCTGTTGCATTGTATCTTTTATTGTTATTCTTATTATTATTCAGAATGTTGAAAGTTTCATGTATAATTCACCGAGGGCACTGGCAAAGAATGTCAATCTGGAGAGCCGAGAGAAGCATTCTAAAATGGTACACGTGAGCTACGATCGTTAACACGCTGCAACAGTGCGTCCCGTGCCTCTGCATCAGGTCTCGACGAAGGTAGGCCTGATTTCCTTTTCATGAACCCACAAACTCTTGTGTCTACTTTATTTTTCTGTTTTGTTCATCTTAGGGGTCGTTAAGGCTGTTGCTCATTTTTTACATTTTATTTATTTATTTCATTGGGACAGTGCACATTAATCAACAAAGAATAAACAGTGTGAATGCGCCAGACTTAGCATAAATGCTGGTTTTCATCATGGCATGCGTGTGTAAGTGCGTGCGTATGCGCACATGTGTCGATTGGGGGAGGTTGGTTGATCGAAAAGTAGATCTTCGGTCAAAAAAGGTTGGGCACCCATGATCTAAGGAATTCTCCGTCTTCATGTCTCGGTCGGAAAATTCCAAGACACAAATTCTTCTAGACATCCCAAGCTTTCATGTTCTCTGTTTTCTGATTTCGCCTACATGTCTTCGTTTACCTTTTTAAGTTGTTTTTTGTTGTTATTGTTAGTCACGGGTTTGGCGTTGTCCATGTTTTGGATTTTTCTTGTCAATTTTCTGATATGCTATTTCCGTTTATATGTTGTTCCTTGCTTTTGCAAGAGCGTTTGGATCACTCATTATCCTGGTGTTGTACCATCAACTTTTGTTATATTTTGTCTGTCTTGCAACCAGTTTTCTCTGAAAGAAATATTTTTGTTGATTCTTCCCGACTTCACGTTTCTGTAGACCAATTCTATTCCATCCGGAAGTCTGACACAGACAGGCAGCCGTGTTTACTGTGACATGCAGAGGAACAGGTCTGCTTTTATAAAGCTGATCTGCAGCTCTGCTTCAGGAGGCTATCAGATGTCCTGCCAGTCACCACCACAAATCTGATGCAATTCTTTTTTCCCAATGCACGTTATTCGGAGTCTGTGACCACACCTCCCTGCAGTGATAAAAGAAGAATATTTGGAACGGAGTGCGGAAACAAGCACATTGTCAATAATTAGTGGATGTGATGACTTTGGGCAAGGTGCACATATGCAGAGCTGGTCAATGATATTAAATAAGAGCCATGAACCATGCGTAGTGTTGCACTGTTCCCATTCTATTCAAACAACAATATCATTCTGATGTCCTTCTATTTAGATGTACCGAATGTATTGTTCAATTAGCTAATCATTTCATTAGCTCATGAAATTGTATTGTTTTAGTGCCTCACAATGAGATGCACAGGGTCTATTTTGAATAAAGTTACAAATCTGGCTAGGATGGCCAGAAGGATGAGGAATGTTGGCATTCCGTGTGAACATCTGTTGGATGGAGCCACATCTGTGTCTTGAGAAGCACTGACATGCCACTCAGGTGTGAAAACAGGGGTGGCAGATGGGGCGCACAACACCTGAGGAGATGTTGAGTAAGTTTAAGTGATGACAATAACAGAAGAAATAAGAGAACTAACAAAGAGAGAGCGCATACGCTTCACCATTTGTCATCTGGGGCGTCAATTAGTGAACATTCTAACGATCAGAGTGCAACAATCTAAAGTTGTGGCGGATTCTGTTCCACCGTTGTTGCAAATGAGTGGTAATGCACATTCAAGGATGGTTGCCAGCTGCCATAGAATTCAAGGAGGAGAGATATGCGTCGCAGAGCATTAATGTGAATCAATATCACCTCGGTCTCGGCTGAAGTCAACAATACGAACCATTCCGCCACCAATGGCTTTATTCGTTATTATTTGCATTGTTTATTGGCTTTATTTAGCTAAGGAAGGAGGAAATAGTGATAGTTCTACACCATTGCAATAATATATTCAAACTACAAATACACATCTATAGACAACCACAATGTATCCCACCAGGAATATTTTGTTTTCATGCACCCTGACAGAGAATTTGAAGCAACAGTTTTAGCAGTCCTTCCACCCTCATGCACCAAATGTCACAAAATTATGAAAGAATTAAAGATGAAGATTTGGGGCAGGGGAGCCCTTTGTTGGGTCAAGAATTGAGCCCTTCCTCCAAAATATTTTATGATGCCAGATAATTTCAGTTAAATAATCTCAGATTTTCTCAAATTAGATATGTATTTGGGACTAATGCCTCACCATATTTCCCACGAAGGCAAGGAGGTTGTTTTATTATCTTCCCAGCATCCGCAGCCCTCTTGAATTTCAGGGCCTTTTATGTCATCCATCATATATGCAGGGACCGATGTCCATAATACCGACTTGTTTATACGGGAGGATGTGGTGGGATGGGGCAAAGTAGGCAGTTTTCTCCCACATTATGCTTGTTCAGCTTTATCTTCTTTGTGTTTTTGTAGTAAGCCGAGTCGGGCTGCGACAGTGAGAGCAAGACGGGTGACAGAGCTTGTCGCGTTGGAGGCAGAGATGAGCCAGGGGATATCAACACCAGGGCAGGTTGCTTTCATTGAACTATGTGCTGCATGGACGTGTTTGCATGGCAACTGTAAATTCAACAAGTCCGGGCAGAGATAAAATCTCGTACTAGCCGAGAGCGTGTTATTCTAGACAGGACTCGGAGCCGCCACGGGCCCTACTGGACAACCATAATTGTCCCCTTCATTTATGTACCTGCATGTACCTATCTGGCCAGTTTCCAGAGAGTGCAGCTGCTTGCGCATCAAGATGAGCATATTTCAAAGCATATCGCTCACCAGCTTTGTTATTATCAGGGGCAGAATCAAGCCGCATAGTGATCAGACGGGACTCTTGGAGAAGCAAAAGGGCCTGGGAAAAATATTGTAACTTTCCGTTCCCTTTGTCATATCTGGTAGCAGATGCTATGTTTGGCTGAGCGAGAGCAAACAAATACTCGCTATCATCCCAGTCAGGCATGTCCTATCAAAATGTCATGGCTACATGTGAAGTTTCCCACCATGGACGCATGAGTTCACTGGGAGTCGTAAGGACAAATGATTTTATACAAAGACAGGTTAAATGGCAGCAATGTTCTTTGTCAATGTAGATTTATTGCAAGTCACTTCCTGTTGTTACACAGGACCATCAAAACAGATTTCCACTGATGATGTGGAGAATTTGTGGTAACATAAAGAGAACAGCAGTCAAATTATATTTTTTTCCATTTCGCTCTTTAACATTATTATATCATAAATTATATATATAAAAAAAAAAAATCCTCGTCTCACCCCTCAGCATCCTGCAATAGGAGATTGAGTAGAGACGTGCCTTCTAGGTCTGTCAACAGGCATATAGACAGTCTCCCTTCAGTTCACCCATATCCAACATTAAAACATGATATGTAAGTAAAAGTATCACCTTGACCACTTGTGAATTTAGACATCATAAAATGAAGTTCCTACAATTACCTCAATGTGGAATGGCGGGTGTTTGGTATGCACGTATGCTGTGCTTAGTGAGTCACGGTGACGCATGACGAATAGTTAAACTGAGCATTTCTTCAAAGAAGCTTAAATTGGCGTTTCCACCCTGCTGGCTGTGAGATGATTGGGCAATAAAGGCATTTAGGGTAACCGGAAAATTTTATTTGAAGTCAGTGCCATGCAATCAATTGTCACCATTGACTCTTCACGCAGTAATCGCTGCTTGTTGTGACAGACGGGCATAACAACTTTCAATAAATAAATAAAGTGGCAAAATCAAGTCGTATACTGTAGTTGCCAAGCTGTCGACATTTCGGAATTAACGCATTGTGTTTCAGCTCAAAGCGGTATTAGCAAGCACACTTTGAACCAACTCTTTTCACTCACTCACAAACGGGGGGAGCAAACAATGCCCGAGAAGCATCTGCGTCTCGCTCCCCAAGCCAGATGGCTGACGACTCCAAGACAATAAACTGCCAAACCCACGCCATGAACTTAACTTAATGTGACAAACAATACACAATAAAGCAGAGGAAACTTATTGAATACACCCCGTATTATCATTATCACACTTCTATGTCAAACTTGAAACTTTTGAAGTTTTATTTTGTATCACAAGGACATTATCGTCCCCAAATGTTCATATTTCAATTGAGATTATGTGATGTATGAACGATTTCTTGAGTGAATGGACAATGAGGAGCGTCGGTCTTTTAGAATATCAACTCAAGGTGCACATGAACGCCTTCGTTGAATATAGAGCAACAAGCAACTACAACCTCATTGTTAACCGTCTTAATTCATTCGATCTCAATTCGGTCTCTCGGGTTACCTTTACTGACGATCGATTAGCAGGTTAATTTAAATTTTAGCGTTGCTAATCAGTTAGCTAGGTTGTTGCGGAGTAGTAACTAACGTTAAAGGGTGGAAGTTCAAAGAGCATAGCTCAATTGGCTAGTAGTTCGTAAAACACCTTAGCAGAGCGAACATAGAGAAAAGCTGACACAAACAACATTTCATTTCTACAATAAGGAATGGTGGTGTTACTGCCGTTAAGACACGATTTTATTTACCTCGATTTCAAAGTCGGGAAGGTTGAACGCTGCCCTGAATAGCGAACAGAAGTGGGCTATGGCGGGCACTTCCCACCAAGACTGGACTTCTTCCACAGAAACTGTACATCCCTGGGACATTTTCAGACTGGACAAATTGTGTCACGTTTGTTTCTCACATTAGAAAGCGGTTTAAGGTTCAAAAGTTCAATGAAACACTTCCGATAAAACTTGCTCGCGCAGGCTGACTGGCTCAGCTGCCATAGCGATTCGCCGGGCTCTTCAATCTGTTTCAATCAGTCCCAGCGGAGTTGAACAGATGGGCAGGGCCGTACCATTATTCGTCAGAGAGGGGAGAAGGGACACATGGTGTTAGAGTTAATACTACAAATAAACAAACCTATGAAGACTTATTCCAATATAATACCGCCCTAAGACACTTTTATAAATCTCTATTTGATTTTGGCGGTTGAAGACACAAATCTATCGGGGCAGAAAAAGTATATTATTTTTAAATCCCTATTGGGCTTGATTGTGCGACCTTCGTTTAAAGGGAATGTTTTGAACGGTGAAATAACGATTAAAGTGTAGATAATTGCTTTGTGTCAAGTAATTATTTCTGAGTTTAATTAAAAATAATTGATTGGTGTACTATTTGTTTTTTTTCTTTCAATGTTTTTAATGTCGTTCTTCACATTAAGACAAGTACAACAAGAATAATAACAACCACGAAAACAATGTTAAAAACGATCCTAATCCTCCAACACGCCTGTGATCTCATTTAGATTTCGTAAACAACATCCCCTAAAAGGCTTTGGCCATTATACAACATAGGGGCTCCCCCTATCGTACTAAACACAAACCGCATGCACTTGGGAAAATTACGATCAGTGCAATCGATTCCAGACCAGTATGCAGTGAGAGATAATTAGGGGCACCTATCCAATTTCACTTAGTTTGTTCAACAAAAAACAAACACACACACACACACACACACACACATATATATATATATATATTGTGTGTGTGCTGTGGCAAGAATCAAAAAACTTTTTGCAAATGTGATGAAATAACACCGTTATTAAAGTGTGGTACTATTACAATGCACAATATATTCTTATTTTTACTACGATGATGATATTTATGATGATGATTATTGTTATTGTCATCATCATCATCATCATGTGCACTGTGTGTTACAAGTTGTGCTCTGTGATATTGCAACCACATACCTGGGCCATATCATCCAAGCAGTTGAAGATGTACTTGCGCGCCTCCTTGGACTTGATCCCTGTTTCTCTCTCGTGGTCCTCAGGAGTCTGTGGGAGACATAAAGCAGATGTTCCTCTCAAACCCTCAACATGCTTCCCCTCTAGACCTGCACTATTTATACGTGACTCATTATAGCCTCCTGTTGCTGATGTACAGCAGGACACAGCTTGACTCACCAACCCGTCCGTGCAGGTTGCTTTTATGAAAGTATGAGCTGTATGTTTGCATGTGCACGAGTTAATTGATAATATGGTAACAATACTCTTGAAATATTACAATTTCTTTAGTGTCCCATGTCATTTCAAATTAAAATTACAGCCTCAAAATAAAGAACAATTTGCAAAACTAACAACTGTCCATCCCCACGAAACTGGTAGGCAGGGACGTCAAGTAATTACTGTACAGGTACAAGGAACTGTAACGTAGAAACAAAGCACTCGTCAGACGGAACACAAAGTTTAAAATATGATCTGCACATCAACATGCCTGTTGTAGGATAAGACACCATGAGTTCATCATAAAGCTAATCAGTGACTTTTTCCGCATGATGTTCTATGGGCTAAAGTTCACGTGCTGGTCATGTTTGTTTGTTTCTTTTAACCCGTAGCCGCAACAGGCCATACATATTGTCAGACCAAAAAAAAAAAACAAATCATAGGTAAAGAAGACAGACAATAAGAAGTGGGTTCAGAATCAAATCATAAAACCTGGGTGGAGTGTGGTAAAAAAAAAAAATTAAATTAATAAATAAATGCACCGGGTAGAAAATGAATACATAAATAAATAATTGATGAATCCAAGATACCTTATTCAAGCCCATATTTCCATCATTCTCAATACCGAGGCAGAATGAGACATCATCAAGATCTCAACCCCATTGAAAATCTTTCACATGGTCTGTAAAAGGACTTTGCGCAGTGATCTTGACTAGTTTGTCATCGATGCAAAATGCTACCCAGTCATTTAAGCAATAAATGCTGTGAAATTTGGATCAAGCTCTTTTATGACTGTGTGCTTTAGTATGTACTGTAAGTATGTGGGTGCTAACACTGCAATAACAGAACAAACAACCCCCCCCCCCCTCAATTTCATATGTATTGACTTCAAACAGGACACTAGTGTGATCTTGTTTATGATTTTCGGTGGATTTGGGTTTACCTTAAGTCTCCACAAAGGATAGGTGGAGTCAGGGTCTCTATTGAAGAACCTGGTGGTCTTTGTCCCTGCGCTCAACAGATACTCTGCAGGCAGACCCTGAGTCTGTGAGATGTATCGGATCTTCAAGACAGAAAAAAAAAAACATTTCAAGGGGGATGTTTTTTTTTCTGTAGTTTGAGGACAAAGAAAGACCATTTTAGAAAACATTCCAAGAATCCAACCAACAATTCAAAGGTAGCAATGATTCACAAATGAGACATTCTGCCAAGCTTGCGTTAAAATCCGACAAGTTTGTTTGGCGTTGAAGCAGAACTCTGCAATGGTCTGGCCATTGATTCTGATTGAGGGAATTCAGCAATGTCTCGCTCTGGAGCACAGGGGCCTACTAATTGGATGAATGGCACTGTGGCATATGTTCCTATAAACAGGGTGGGGGTAGAGTGGGCAAGACTCACAATGGGCTGTTGTGGGGATTGAAGCAATTCATTTGGGGGAAAAAAAAAAAACAACAACACACTGACATACACATGTATGAATGCTTCTGAAATGTGTGCAATCACCTAAACAAGCAAGCATGTAAAGTCAACTGAGGGTCCAACACCTGATCATAGAGATTGACCGATTATAGGCCGGGTGGATTATCTGCACCGATATTCGGCATTTACTGGAACTTGTTTTTTGTTTGAAATTAAAACAAAGATAAGTGAAAGTTTAACATTTTAGTTATTTGGAAATTTTTGAAAGGTTGATTTATAGAAAAGTATTAACAACTATTTCAAATTTTGACACCAATATTTTCCATTTTACAAGATAATGAATATCAGATCAAAATATTGGTTATCACCCTCTCCTTAACTACGAATAAAATTTCTCAATCCTGAAAAAAAAAAAACATATTGGTCTGTCTTTACCTGATCGTACTCTGAGGCTCCAGGGTAGAGTGGCCATCCCAAGAAGAGCTCAGCTATCACACAGCCCAGGGACCACATATCTATCGCCTCACAAAACGGCAGGCCCAGGATGATTTCTGGAGCTCTGTTAGAGGAAGAATAAACAGTCATTAACAAACAGACATTAAATTAAGACCATCGGTTTCTGGGTGTTTCCTCTCACTTTGGTTCTCATTATATTAAGTGCAATCACATTAGATGGAATTGGTGCAACCATAATAGGAGTCTTCTGTGACTAACAAATACATTGAAGAGCCACCCACACATGTGTGACAGGAGCGCCAGCCATGCAGAGAGCTTATTTTCACACTTAATGTGAGCTTGTGGAGAGACGCTAAGCGCACTAAGGAAAAATTCAGAGCAAGAGAAGGGGGGGATGCGATCCATGATTAAGAGCGATATTGCACCAAATACAAACGGACGGCATAATCTTTGGAGAAAACTACACGTTATTGTCAGGACAAAAGGGCTGATTTGTATGTTTAATCTTTTGTAGAAACATTATTATTGATCATCCATCTTCAGATGAGACTGTGCTGATTCCAAAGCCCAACTAGTGGCCACATATTAAGAAAACAAACAAGAAGAAACAAGTATCCACAACGAACCAACAAAATCCCAAACAAAAAAGGCAGTGAAAGCAAAAGAGGGGGAAAATAAAAAATTTTACCAGAGGTTAGTTAATAGGGCAGCATTGAAGCAGGCACCAGGACAAAAAGGTCCGGCAAGCAGTGGCAACACCATTTCACAAAGATACCCGACACCCTAACACAAAAAAAGGCCAGAGACGGCAATGAAAGCACTTCCGCACAGGCATAAAAGAGGTTGCGAGCTGGTGAGACCAGCAGTAACAGAGATGCTTTAAATCTGAGATGGACAACAGCATGATTAATCCATAGTGGCCTGTTAGACTGGAAAGCCAGCCACTGTTTCACTGTGGTGGATGGCCCTGCACACATATGGATCTATAGGTGGTGCATTGAAGAATGTTTTTCACTTCCAAATCCATGCTGAGGCTGCTCGACACTGAAAAAAAAAATGGTGTGTTGAATTTACTCAATTTTATTTTCTCAGGTGGCTGCACACAATACAATCATCTGGATCTAGCTACATTTTTAAGTAGGCGTGTTGTCTATTTAAAATGTATATCTGCATCCAGGTGATTCTCATTTATGTACGCACTTGAAATAAATTTCAGTAAATTCAACACACCATTTTTTTCAGTGTAGTGAGTTCAGGGGACCCATGCACACATATCAGCTTTAAGTCTCACATGCCATTGAGCTGAGGTGCGACAGTTGTGGTATTATGTTTGACGTCAAAGCCATTGAAGCTAGCAGCCATAAATAAATGGAACATTAGGAAGTGATTAGTGTTTCAGCTTTGGTAAAATGCTTCCATGTACATATGTTGAGCAGAGCTTCAAGGCTACAAGAACTCTGCACCTGTTTGTGCTGGTGAAATGTGTTACGATGATGTCATGTTTGGACCCAGTCTGGCCGGAACCTTCCTAGGTTATCCTCTAATGCACTGCTTCGACCATTCGTGTGGCTTTGTTGCATGTGCCTGCTCCTCTAGTTCAGCAATTGAGAGAATGAGACAGAAGAAGAGAGATCCGAAGGACGGGGGCGGGGAAGAGGAGAATGACATTGTTGCTCATCATTTCAAAATACAAGTGCAAATCAACATCTGCCTGTGCAATATTGCCTTCACACCTGCTGATGCAGACCTTGCACTGGAACCGACAGACATTTTTTGCTCCTTTCATTATCACGACTAGTCGTTAATAATTCATGAAGAGTCTCTGTGATATAGTTGAGACTGTTAGAGTTTGGTGCCAAACAACAAATTGAACTTTAGTTCTGGGACTTTTTAAAACCTTTTAAAGTCACAAAAATGGACATGAGGCCTTTTCTAAGCCAACAGAATATTGTCAGATTCACCTGGCAAGAACCAATATTGAAGTGCTCGGTGACAATCGGTGATAAAATTGACATTTTGCTGACACTGATGAGTCGTCACCATTTAACGTGCACCACTTTAAATTCATCTACAGATGACATTACACAACGTCTCTCATTGGGATGTCTCTTGTTGCAGAAATTTGCTAGATAAAGTGCAAACCTTATGCAAACTTTTGGTCAGGGTCTTTCTCTGGATTTTTAACGTGCCTCGACAAATCCTTAGTGTTTGGGTTGAAGGCATGGAGCTAACAACAGAAAGAGTGCATGGAAAAGACAGAGCGAGAGAGTGCATGCTCACATCCTCACAGCTGGCTCGATCATTGATAAGCCCAAATCCCTTTGGGAGTCGGAGATGGCACCAATCATGAATGGACCCTTTCTTAGCCCCCTCACCCTTCCCCACAGTCAGTCCAGCAAACCCCTACCCGCCCCACTTTCTACCTCATCCCCCTCCCTCCATCGAATGAAGCTCTTTGCCAGCTAAACCCCCTTTCAAACCCCTTCAAACTAGGGCATAGAGGTCCAGACTATCCCTTCAAACCCGCCTCTGCGCCCTCTGCTCTGCTGAACCGTGCCTGTGCTTGGCTTGCCTGCCAAGCGCGCACACACACACACACACACACACACACACACACACACACACACACACACACACACACACACACACACACACACACACACACACACACAGCTGACTTCACAGGCTGTGTGCATGTCAGGATGTATCCATCAGGCTGACCTTCCCTGAGCTTGGGTCCAGACGGGAGACGGATGGATCCCTGAAAGCCTAATGCATTTACACACATACATGAGCAACTCACAATCACAACCATGCACATGCGTGCACATCACACACAGACAGGACAGACAATCTACGGTAATGGAGTAGATCTCTTTCATTTCAGCTCCAAAGACTTCATCATTGGCCCGTATGTAAGTATGTTTTATTCAAATAGCCACTTAGAACTGCCCTCCTAAGTGAGCAGCGTGTACACTGGATGTAAATAACATCAACGGAGCACGGGACAGCTAGCCACCGGTAACAAGAAAAAGCACTTCATGGGAAAAGAGGCCATCATTAACTGTCCTCTCGAGTATTTGCTTTCTTCTTTCCCTTTCCTCCCCTCGCTTTGACTCTTACCCTGGCTCCATCCAGCTTTTTCCCCTGCCTAATGGAACAAGCTTAGGTCTGTGCTATGAATGACTTCCTGGCTCTCCCTGGGTATTCATCTACATATTCATGCCCCCGAAGGCTCCGTCACAGTCTTACTGAATGCATACCATGGAGAAACACTTTTTCTCGCAATACTACATGGTAGTGGCGGACTGTGAAATCAATGTTTGGCCCTTCATTCCCTGCCGCGCACCTGTGGCTTCCAGAAATCATGCTCCTACTCTTTCCAGCCACTCCACCTGCTCTCATCACTTCAGCAATCGCCGTAAGAATTGTATACGTGGCAGACATTAGATGCAGGGATCATGTAAATGCACATTCATTCAGGCAATTTCCATTCTGAGGGCTTCTATTGCAGGTGGCCGAGGGGGGTAATGTGGGAGGGCTTTGTCTGGACAAGACAAACTTTTTCACAGAATCCTTGAAAAATGTAGCCTCGCTCTCTTAGGAGGGGCGACGTTCTCACTGCTCAAGGTCCTGAAAACCGAGTCCTCTCTTTTCCTTTTTTCTTTCCTCACCCTACGAGAAACGGAAAAGCAAAAGAGCTGACGAGCCAGCCATTGCTTTACTTATAAAAGTACAAGCAGTCCCAGTGGAGTGCGTAATGCATTACAACAAGACAAGTCAAAGCATGGGAAAGTAAGGGTGGCAGACTGAGGGATAGGCACATCACTCAAAATATGCGGATGTCGTGAAATAGCAGGCATATTGCCACAGGGCTTGAAAAGGTATAATTGCAGATGTGTCAACTGATCAAAAGAAACTGTTAATACATCTAATATATCATTATCAGCTGGTATAAACTATGAATTACTGAGCTCACATGCTTTTATCGGTTGAGCCAACACAGCCTGACGTACAGTTCAGTCCAGCTGCTATGGAGAACAGTCAAATAACACACGTTTAGAGTGCTAATTCTCCTGTCCTTTTTTTCATGTGTTTAACATAATGAGGTGTTTAGCATGCAGGGAGCCACCACATGTAGTACGAGGTGAAGTTCTTTTGTCGGTGGAGCCACATACACTGTACAAGACTGAATTTTCAAATATTTGTAGCCAAGAAAAGAAGCAATTTCTATGAGGTTGATGGGCTCAAGTATTGGGACTTCTGGAAACATTACACCAACAGGGAACTGATAATGGGTGCAGTTTACATCTGGAGGGCTCTCTCAAGGCCTCTGCTGGGAAAAGTACATATCACACTTGTTTGAAGATGTACCATAGGTGGGGACTCACTTTTCAAAGGATTTTTGATTGGTCAATGATGGGGATGTGTCACAGAGTGATGCTTGATAGCAGATGTAGGGAACACAGAAATAACGCCCCGAGCCTTTTGCAACAGTATTTTGTGAGTGGACTGACTGTCAGACATTATTAGCCCAGACCGTACTGGCCAGACATTGACCAACCCCCGAGGCATGTGTCCATGTGTCATACTTTTGTCTGCATCCAGCCAGGCTTGTGAGAAATCCAAAATTGATATTTAAAAGTACAGTACACGGATACATTTTGAAGGAAAGTGTTGAATCAAGATTTTCGATGCTTCACAATGATGGCCCTGCCGTCTTCAAAGTCACGATTCATTGTCATAAGTCTTGAGGAAATGCAGGGCCACACAACAAGCGAGCTATTGTGCAGTAAAGCCAAACTGAAAAGCGGGAATGCAATCAGACGATAACACATCCCTACAAGCAGTCAGTCAACCAGCTTTACCAGCTGGTGTGCCTGTCAGGAAGGCTGAGATGCATCACCAAAGCAGGCGGTGGGAGGAGGGGGCATCTTGGGCAGCGAGACAGCAGGATTCGCTGTCGGGATGGCACAGGCAGACAAGTCAGGCAGATGGAAAACTGAGGCATTGATCACTTTGGAAAATTGAAGTGTATGACACATTTAGACACATTTGGCTCCACCTCCAGCAAATCATCAAAAGTCAAATGAACAAAAACAG